TTTATATTATAGGAACTTACATTTTGAAATAAAAATGAGGGGTCCCCATGTTCGTTTAGGAGCAACAGCACCTTGTTTACACCCAATAAATCCTTATAACAGCACCGTGATTGTAGTTACGATTGCTTGCTAAATTCACGTTTCCGACGATTGCTTTTTTTGTTCTACACTGAGAACTGGGCCATATTTATATTGCACAGAGAAATTTATTACCCAATTCAAAACAACAGAATAAAATGATAGGTCACCATACTCGTTTGCGAGAAAATGACGATTTACCTCTATGGCGAGGTCCAGCCGTAAAGAAAAAGCCGCCATTTTTTAATGCGCGCACTGTGCTAATCACGCATGAAATTATGCGCAGTACGGATGCAATACTGGGGAATGACCTTAAGGTGCGTGGGGATATTGTCCCAGGGAATAGTTGCTCTGTAAGTTATTGTTTGTTTTCCAGAATTGGTACGCACTTTTGATATTTCTAGATGTTGCCTAGATACATATCTGGTATTGTATCAGTGTACTTGACTAGCGTAAAGGAGAACAGAAGGCTAAAAAACATTTTTTTAAAAACGTTTGACAAGAGTGTATAATGCATCGTGAGCAAAAACCTTTTTTTTTATTTGTAATGCTACACTTTATGCGCAATTTTACACTGGTTTGATATGGTTTAAACTAAACTTACTTGCACTTTATTACTTACAAATTACAATAACAATCTACATTGCTTACAATACTAACAATACAACAACTTTTTTTAACAAGAATTAATTTTAAATAACGACGATATTACTAATGAGGACAAAACTAAAAATAGTGCAACTAACAGATACAATACTACTACTACTGCTACTAATACGCTATTATAACAACTGACAAAAGTAAATATGCAACAAAAACAAAAGAGAAAGGAAGGAAAGCAAAATATATAGGGCCATGAAGTACTAAATTAAAGCTGTTCAAATGAAAAGGAACGTAAGCAAAAACCTAGGTTTAATTTTTAGAGTCATAGTTACTTTGACAGCAAAAACTCTGCAACGAGTACTCGAGAGTCCGCCGTTTTGGCCACCATGTTGAAGCCTTGGGTAGCCGACAAGTGACTTTTTTGCATATATAGCTTTTTACAAATATTTGACACTTTAGGCGACGCTATTAAGAAATATAATTATTTTCACATTCTTTCTAAAAATCTACATTTTAAACGGTTCATCTATTTTGTATATTTCCAAAGACTTACAAAGCAGCAATCACTGCGAAATTTCGCTGCGTGAGATGTGAATTCATGTTTGATCACGGAAGTTATAATTTAGTTTTTTGAAAACGTTTTGATATTGCATGTGCTCTTTTGCGAATAAAAACACAAGCGTGAGTTATCCGATCACTGAACTTGTATCCTGCGTAGACTGGTGTTATTTTTACTTATTTGTTTTGTTTTCTTGGTATCCTCTTGTATAGGGGGATTCATGCTGACGTCATTGTGTACATTTTGCTGATTTGCATATGGCCTTGCGTACAGAAGGAAACATTATATTTCCTTGCGGTGAATGGATTTCAAAGGGTCCACAACTCTTAAAGGAGCATTGTATGTTAACTGAAACCAGTTTAAGACTTCAGGAGTGATTCATCGTTTTATTGCTACAGTTCTGTTTCGTATGGTCAAACAGTGACCACACTCATCAGGCAACGTACAACGAAGGAAATATGTTAGATATGAATTGACTCAGGGCAGCTTAACAGCTAGTAAAATTTAATACATGGTGAAATTTTTAGCTCTGGGTGTAATATTCAAGGACATATTGTCTTTCAAAAACTGCAAATTTCCGGGTGGCAATAGCGCTAATGAGCTCATACATTCTTTGTAAAAACTAAGTTTTTAAACCCGTGTTGTACAAAAAGTATTCAATACATCAAGCTCATATTCATTGGCAGAGTTAATCGTGCTATGACCTTTCAATATTCAGAACTGATTTATTTTGTAGCTCCATCAGAAACTGAAATACTTATGCTAATGAGGCAAATATTGTAGACACTGAGGATTCCCCCATGTCATTTCTGTCACTCCTTTCTTAGTTTCTGAACTGTGTTACGGCATCCTCCCTTATATAGTATTGTAATTTAATTTTAAAATTTAGTCACATCTAGAGCTGTCGAGGGCTGGTCTGGTCAACCGAAATGCTGTTTTAAATATACTATGTTGCGCCGGTTAGCCTTGCAGTAGTCTTGACTTATCATCGTTCACTAAACTTTGTCTAAAAGTACATGGTACTGTACCTTTTAGTCCTATCTCAATATCGGCAACCTGAAGAGGGATGAGAAAAAATAATCAAATATTTATTGACATTGGCCTCGGCAATATTTACGTTTTTAACTTGACTCTGGGTAGCCGATCTCCACTAGAATACACGGTAATGCTGGGGAAAAATCAGTTATAGGAGAGAAATTAAAACATCGAATATCTCTGTAATAATTTGCGACTATATTTCTTGGTTTCGCACACTAACCTAGCCTACGATATCTTAACAATTTATAGAAAATAAAAAATGAAAATCACAACAACACTAGCTGTATTGAACTTGCGAGACAACAATTGGATTATAATAATAATCTGGACTTTTGTTGAGTGGATGGCTTCGTTCACGTCGTTCTTCGTTTCTTGAGGGTCACAGTTCGCACAAAACGTGTTTTAAGAGTTGATTCTTCTTCATTTTGGTTAAACTATTTTTTTAAAGGCTTTGGGATAAAAGAAAAAATGTTCAAATCTCGTTGTGTTTGACCTTTAAGGTTATCCATGTTTACACTGCTTTCCAAGAATGATGTGCCTCTAAACTGATGCAATAAGCGTTATATTTAGCGTGATTGGGGGGTCTTCATATGGCAAGTTACTTACTCGTGCACGTATGATAAGTCACTTTAGAAAATAGCCAAAAGAAAATAAGCGCGCTGATTAGATGACAACTAGATGATTCGCTCTCGATTTCTATCGCGTGATAGTTCACGAGGGCGCAGCCGGAGTTAACTATCACGCATAGAAATCGAGAGCGAATAATATAACTGTTTTAGTATAAATCTATGAGTCGTTCAAAACTTTATCTACATTCTTTTTAAGACACTTCGAAAACGCAGAGAAGCGGCCGCTAGTTTGTTAACACCCGCACAACGCTACGTTACTTACTATCTACAACGGAAGAGATAGTGAGTAGCGTAGCCAATCAGAGAACGGTGAAATTTAATACTAAGACCAGAAATAATTAGAATCGTTATTTGAAGGAAATTTCAGTTAGAATTCTAATAAAACAATTAGATTATGAGCTCGAGATTTCTATGAGGCGATAGCCTCATGAGGCTACCACCTCATAGAAATCTCGAATCTCGTGGAAACACTCGCCTGTCGGCCCGTGTTCCCACGGGATCTCACGTTCTCCCAAACTTCTCCCAAATTTTGGGCCACTTCTATGGTCAAAATGACAAGGACAAGGTTATAACTTCATTATCAGCAAGGAACATAAAGAAAAAGGACCAGGCTAGTTTAACAGCTGAGAATAGGTGTATACAGAATTTCCCGACTGACAGCATCAGACACTTAAATTACAAAATCTCTTGACTATTCCTAAATTGTAATATTAATTCACTGTTATTAATATTTCTACTTAATATCGTAAATATTGTTCAGCGAATTATAATTAGTCTATTTATTCAATTTTCAATCCATGTGAGCATGCATGAAACCTTAGTGTCTCCAATCAGTAGGCTCCATGCAGCGAGCTAGTATATTGACACATTATTAAAGTTCTTGCTGTTGTTGTTGTTGTTGTTGTATTAGGATTTTCCGAAATCTGTTACATGAGTCGAAAGATTTCACTTGCGTACTATTCTGGCGTGAATTGTTTCAGAGATAAATATCACTTGACGAGTTTCCGAGTTTACGTATGGAGCGTGAGTATGTTTGCATCGGTATCACGGAAACAAGTTATAAATAACGAAGATTTCTCTCAAAAGGCCGATATAACCTGGCTGAGAAACCATATAAATACACAACATCCAGTTAGCTATTCCATACTTTTCAGTGGTCTTTACGCAGTTTTTGGCTAACAAGGAAGTAAACAGCGCTCGTCATGAAACTTTGGCTTGTTCTTGCTATAGTGGTGGGAATCATTCAGTGTCAAAGAGGTTAGTTAACTGTACCTTAGGGTCGTTTCAGACGACTGCCAAAAAAAACAGTCTCTAATTAGTTAGTAATACTCTTAATTATAATACTCTCTTTTGCTAACGCATCTGGATTTAAAAGTTACATGTATTAGTCAAACTACGTCAACTGAATGGCAAAGGACTATACTTTTAAGATTTGCCCTTTCTGGTAGCTTGCTGAGAAATATATGAGAAAGATAACTGATAGAACCAAATGTTGCAGTTTAGAACTAAGCAAATTATCTCCGGTGAAAAAAAGGTCATTCTAAGCATTTTGTCCTCAAGGAGGAAAGACCCTCTTCATTGACGTTCAAATAAGAACGACAATTGAACTGATTTTATTTGTTGGGTATTTCCCATGAGGAAGTGGCTGGAGAGACAATTTTGAACAGAATTAGATCATTACGGGATCGCCAAGAAAAGTTGAAAGTCCGGGCTTCGCTTTTCAGATTAGCCTCTTACCTCACTGATTTCATGACGGAAATTAAATTAGATGCAAGATTACCAATTACATTAAAAGTCTTGTAAAAATTTTTGTTCAAAGTATCTCAAGACGGAAAGTGTTTATTCAGATAAGTGCTGGGTATTTTTTGCCAAGCAACGCAAAAACATTTTTTTTTTTACCTGACTAATCCTAGATTAATTGAGTTTACTTTCGGTGTCGTTTCATGGGAAATAAATCTCAGCTCTTGACGAGGGCTTTTCCTATTGAATCGTCTTTATTTTCAGTGCTAAGCTGTGGTGGCGGAGGTAGCGGTGGTGGCGGCGACGGTGGCACTGGTGGAGGTGGTGGTGGTGGGCAAGGCGGCGGTGGGGGTGGTGGAGGCGGAGGATCTGGCGGCGACGGAGGTAGTGTACAGCGTAGCTTTGGTAAGATATATATTCATTGAAAACCATTCTCTTATTCTTCTGATACTTACAAGGCAAATCATTTTCTTCATAACTCTTGTCTTCCTGATAAAAGCGATAATTATGATAATTATTATAAAAACTTGTTTTGCACCGTTCAGGTCTTATATTTTAGTTTTAGGAAAAGGAATGTGTTATCCTTGCTAAGATGTGTATTTTCAATGCTGTTCCAAGAGAGAAATGCCTGCCCTTCGTAAGGCCCTCTTTTCATTCTATCTTCATTCTGTTTTAGCTCCAGGCCCAGGAGGTGCTGGCGGTAACATGGACGATGATGATGATGGCAGTGGCAGTGGGGATTCTGAACCTGAAAAGTAAATTCTTTTATTTATGACTCTGGTCTTCCTGACAAATCCGAAATTATGTTCAAATTCATTCTGTACGATTCAGTCTTATTTGCATTAAGAATGGTAAATTTGGGTCATGTTAGCTGAGTTCTGTGTTATTTCATTGTCGTGTTACTGTCATAAGAGATAATCTCTGTCTTTGATTTTTGGATTTTTTTCATCGAATCTTCTTTGTTTTTACACCTTTTAGTCGCAGGCCCTGGGGGAGGTAATGGCGATGATGGTGGTGGCTGTAGAGGCGCTAGGAAAGTTTTGGTGAGTAATTTTCTTGTGCTTCCTTTGTTTATAAAGTGACACAAGACGAAAATAGCTTAATAGAAAGGAAACCCGTCATTTTTCTTGAGTAACATAACAACAACTGCCTTGAGAAAACACCTCAATATTATTGAACACTGGCATGGAGGATCGAGCGAGTGAAGGAACGAGTGACTGAAAAAACGGGCTCGCGTCTTTAGAGCATAAAGGATTTCAAAAATGCTAAATTTCGGTACAATCTCTTAAGAAATTTGGCTGTTTGTGTGCCATACGATTCTCAAAACCTTTTGCAAACCATTTCAGGCCAAATATCATGATTTTTCGCACTTTTCCGTCCACTTTTATCAGCAATATTTTTATTTCCCTTTATCTGCAATATTTTGTCTTTCCCTTTCGATATCGATATCGTGCGAATTTGAATATTATGATGATAATATTTCGGTGCGGCAAAATCTGTGAACCCACTTTCACCCTACAATAGCTCAAAAACAATTACATGTACATGATAAGGAGTGAAAACATGTACAACTTATCAAATTAAAGCAACAATTAAAAAGTATCTGATTTTTTTTAATATCTGATGTTTATTTTTTTCAGGTTCTGGCGTGTACAGACAGATGGAAATTGACCACCGAGCAAAAGTGGAATATCAAGCTCTTAATGCCCTTCCTTTAAGAAATAAGCAATGCAGTTAGACGAATTGTCGAAATGCAGTTTAGTTTTGATGTATTAATCGTGGTGATAATGTAATGTAAAAAGCACGGTAATAAAAGTGACAGAGTTAAACACGATTAGCCTAAAACATTGCTTTTCCACTCTTCGTGCTTCCAAATTTCCTTGTTCTATACTATAAACCCGATGGAACTGACTCGTCCTCCCGCACCGACGTTTCGTTAATATATGAACAGCTTTGCACTTTATGACAAGTCAGCCTGTAGTAGTTTGGGAAGCTTTCTGTATCCATGCAAAAAGCATCGCGAGGCCACTGATTGGATTGAGCACATATGATGTAATTGTTTAAAGTTAAGTGCATATGACATGAAAAATAATTTCTGCTTATTTGAAAGGCCTTCCAAAATACAGAAGAATGACGTTTTTATTTTTGAAATATCTTTTTCGTTTTAGGGATATTGACGTTTTTGTATTATGCAAATTAATCAGTGGTGATGTCATATTGTTTGCAACTAAAAAGTGGTAAAATACTGAATAAACGATATCTCTGGAAATATTGGAGCAGTGTTCTTGAAACGTGGCACCATAAATGTGCATCACAAAAGAAACAAAAGGACACTCAATTTATTATGTAAACTGTGGTTGTTTATGGAGATTTCGAAGATTCACTTGCTTGGAAAATAAATGATTGAGCATATCACAATCCACGAAATAAGCTACAAAATATGACAGTTTCTATATAATATGTTATTTTATGATCCTCAGAATTGTAAGTGGTCTGTTTTGTAGATGGCAGAGTATAGATTTCTATTTCAAGGCACTAAAACAGAGGATGTAAATCTGGAGGAACAGTTTTGTTGTATAATAATGAAGTTCATGACTGAAATTTGGCAAAAACTTTGGCAGATTTCAAGTCAGCTCATCGGCGTTCGCAAGCAAAATGTCAGCTGATACAGACCAGTTACATTAAGCCAATTAAATTGTTCTTGTTTGCCATATAATAAACATCTTATTAACCGAGCTTAGTCGGTCTGTATGGGAGAATCTTGACCTCTGTCGTGAGTACATCACACCTCACTGCGTTCGGTCTGTGCTCAAGACCTCGGTCAAGATTTTCCCATACAGACCGGCTAAGTTCGGTTAATAAGAGCCAAATATTAACACGAATACAACCCACGATGCCTCACACGAAACGTCAGCATTAGAAATGGTTACCGGTAGTTTAACTTTATCGACTTTATGGTGACAAGTAGCTAAGTGTTACACTTTTCCGCCGACGCAGCGCAACACTGATTTACAAATAGCTTTTCTGAGTATCTTCAGAGGAGCGTTTCGTCCAAAAATTACACGAAGATTGTCGATCTATTATTCTACCGGTAAGGGATGGAGTGAAGGACTGCTGTTTTGAGGAATTGTGTGGGTGGAAATAGTATCTTTAGTTAGTAACCACCTTAATCATCAGTCGATTCGGAATAAAACTGCTTTTGTACCCCGAAACTAACAAGTGATTCATGGTTAATCAAGTTTATCTTACGTTTATTGCCTTGATTTGCTATAGCACTTTTGTAATTCTACAAGCATTCGATCTTCATAACCGGCAGAGTTTCGCCTGGTTATTTGTTCTACATGTATGTTAACCAAAAAACTATGGAGTCCTGAGTCTTTCCTCTTGTCCAGGCTTTGTCATTTGCACCAGTGAGTAGACTGCAAAACCTGAGAAAAATGAAAATCAGCCATCAAATAATTTTAAGAAGTGAATATATCAAATATCAGAAATGTTAATTTGACATGATTGATCATCGTAGTCATACACACACAGGTGAAAAAAAGAATTCAGGCTTGAACGGGATTTAACCCCAGGACCTACAAACCTGTCTCACAAAACAAGCAATGATTCGTTCGTTTACTCCTTACAGGTTTGAATTAAGTTATGATGGGGTGCTCCATAGGTTGCAGATTTTGAGTTTCTTAAAACTGCAGGGACAAACTTTAATTTTCGTCCTTAATAGCATTGAGCTTTTTGGGGGCGATTAACAAAATGGATATACTGTATTACACATAATCTTCAAAGGAACAAGACAGGCAACGACCGTCTGTTAATATCTGTCTGTCTGCGATGCCTGTTAAAGGTGGGAGGTTAAATCTCCATCATTATCATCATCATCATTATGAGTCCTTGTCACGCCATTGGACGCATAAGCCCTTATGGGATAGAAAAAAGGGGATAGAAAATCGTACATTTAGGTCTCAGTTAAGTCAGGGGTTTTGAGTGCACTCGGGTGGCACAATCTGTTCAAAAACTTCCAAGTTCCTCCCTTCCCAAGAGAAAAAGTGATTCGTTGTTTGAATCGTTCGAGTTATCGGTTAGATGATTGCTTTGCTCGCTCACGTGTACATTGGTTGGTACCGGTCGACAATGCCTTACCTTAACAAATATAAGGTGTGGGGTTCACTATCACGCCATTCTTCTGAAGTTGCACGTGAACATGATTTATCATACCACGCGACACAGCAGCCCTGTTTTCCATGGTACCAACGAAATCTCCTGCAGAAACGCTAACACGATCCCTAACTCCCTTGCTCACATACCACATCTTGACCTCGTAGCCTGGGACGAGACAAATGCAAAAGCAATGTAAAGTAACTGGCGATGAACAAAATCTGCTTGCCCTCATATTGTATCAATAATTATTATTACGCGCGCTCTGATTGGCTAATACTGTAGTGCAATATTCTCTCGTAAGGCCCACGGGCCGATTTCGGGCCTGCAAAGACAAAGAGAAAAGCCATATAATAAACAGCTTATTAACTTTTGTTGTTTTTATGGGAAAATATCAAACCTCGGCCTTCAATATAAAATACCAAACCTCGTTTTGAGATTTTCCCGTAAAGACCGAACGTTCATGGTTATTAAGTAATTAATAATCAGTTTTTTTTTTTTTCAGTTAGTTAGATACGACTACAAAGTGCGAGATGCATTTTACATAATTAGGGTGCCTGATAATTTTGTCAGGTACATGATAATCATACATTGTAAGACTTGTAAGTCTCGACCGGCAAATATCCCGGTTACTGTAATTTGTGACATGTAGAGCGAGATTGCACCGGTGCAAAGAGTTTCATGAACATATTGTACCCTCGGAAAATGCCAAAAAACTAAACAGAATTAGCGAGAAATTCTCCCGTACGTTGCTAACTGGACTACAAGTAGTTACTTGATTAAGCATGGTTAATTATTAAGTCGGCCCGGCCTATGGAGCCGAAGCCTTTCTATTTGCTCTGGCTTTCTTAGAATTTTGATATACTAAAGGGTAACGTCAATACGTTAAGGTTACTCGTTATTTCCTGTTATTGATCAAACTAAAAAGTAACAGTTTTACTTCAACAGATCAAAAAAGTATATTTGAGTCAAGCATTTTTGGCTGTTTCAACAAAAGATTTACTGATGAAGTTTCTACCTGCCCATGATCCAGTGCCTTCCATGAAGACACCGGTGTTGTAAACTGCCCCCCAGTGAGATGACTTAGGGCTATATGGTCTGGTCACCCCCTTATCTCTAGCGGGAAAAGGTGCGTAGACACTGGCCCCTGCAGAACATACAATGTCGTAACCTCTATGGCGGCGACTACCTCTGCAATAAAAAGAAAGGAAAAGATTATTATTTCTACAAAAAGACAATTAGGTGCGTCTATCATGATAAAAACAGGGAAATGGTTTTAAAAAAACCGATGAACATCAAACAAGCAAACAAACAAGCTAAAATTTATTTTGGAAGTTTATTCTTTTGTTTATTTTCATAGAGTATGCATGAATTTCATAATCGCAATGTTTCTATTGGTTAGTTCAAGTTGTATGAGCACACATAACCAGCTTATGTACTTTGCCAGGTTTTGTGCAGGGTCAACCCCCAAAATAGGCAATTATTATTTCAACAAAGAACTTTGCCAGGTTTCTTAACCTTTTCTCTCCATGAGTATGTGATGAATACATACAGGACTCTGGTAAATTTTAAGGTTGAGATTAAATTGTGGTGCTCTTACAAGATGCTTTCGGGTTTGCTGGTTCTAGCAGTATGTAGGACGCATGTCTCATATGAACCTGGTAAGTAACCTAGCAAACTCATCAGGAGTCTATGCATAACTCATTAGTTAGAGCGCCAAACTGTATGTATCTGAGAGGTCATGGGCTCGAATACTAGCTAATACTAGACAAATGCTGGACATTGCATCCATCACTCTAGCATTTATAAGTTTTCAAAACGGAAAAAAAAGACAAATCAATAAAAAGAGGAAAGCAATATGACAACAAAGAAATATAAAATACGCCATGAAAGAGGTCACCACCCTAGAATGCCTAATGCTTTTGGAAATTTTGCTGACAGTCGATGAAATATCTGAGGTCTGTCATATTTAAAAAGCACAATGGGGCGAATCTCATTGGTTAAAGGTCAAATGAACCAAAATTTAGACATCCTTTCTTCGGCCGAAATGTTAAAAAAAAAAAACGAACATTTAAAGAACGTTATGCGGAAATTTTTCTTTCTGAGCCGTGAAAAGGAGTAAAAAAGTTAAAAGTATGAAGACAGCCGATTGCTTCACGAACGCGTTTCCAAAATGACCGCGCACTTTAACGGAAGGAATGGAACTTAGACTCTGCTTTGTGACGTCACTGTTGTATTGAACATTGCTGCGTTTCTGCCTCAGTGAGTCTTCGTGGGGAAGGTTTTAGATCTAAATACGAGCCTCATTTTACTTGGGAAATGGCCGAGGAGTTCGTCCGCTGTTTGGTGGGCATTATTCACTTGTTTTTCGTCGATTTTTGCCCAATTGCCGGCTTGCAACGTTCCATAGTGAAGTCAAAAATCGTCGGTAAAGCGTCTTTCTTGAGTACAAGTTGACGAAGCGTGAAAGAGGGTCCCAACAAACCCCTTACCACAAAGTTTTGTTCGAAGCTGTCTTCGGAAAAGTGTTTAGCACAAACGCGCGAATAATTTTTGGGCGTAAAGCATTCTCTTTTCATTTTTATAAGCCATTCTAACTTAAGTTTTGGGTACGCCTGGATGACCTTGAAAGTGCTAACTTTGGATTTTGAGTGGTTTTCCTCTGAAGTTCAGTGTAAACTTGAAACCAAAACAGTTTCAATCTTCCTCCATTTCTTGAGCTCATCAACAGTGACGTCACAAGTTTTATTTCCGACAGTTTTCCCGATCGCTCTACGATTATGAAGAATAAAAAGCAGTGATTTTAACATTCCAATATCTCCGCAATGCTTCGTCCAATTCGTTTGAAACTTCAGAATATGTTTATTTTATACTTAATGAACACATTGGACTCAAATGAAATAAATGTCTAAATTTTAGTTCATTTGACCTTTAAGAGAACACGCAGGTTATCAATTTTCCGTTTGGAATAAGGCTTTCCTAATTAACTTAGGCAGCGTCCACACCACGCCGGAGAAATTTGAAATCGCAGCTCTATTTCTACCGTTAGGCCTACCGTTCACATTTATCCGTCACAAAAACGGAGCTTCTCGAAAGCGCTCTTCAAGCCGGACGAATTTGAAAACGCTGGCTTTTCAAAAACAAATCCAAATGACCGGTGATTGTTGCGTTTTTAAATTCCCCTGGCTTAGTGTGGACGACAAACAGTTGATGCGTTTTCAAAGTGAAACCTCTGTTTTCAGATTCCTCCGGCGTAGTGTGGACGGGGGCCTTAGGTGGTGGATTATCGAAACAATGCACCTTTTGTGTTATTGCTTTTTCTGTGTTTTTTGTTTTTTTTTTTTTTTA